GAATTTTCTTTTGAGAGCAAGATCCATATAAAACCGAATCCGTTCCATAGAATTAAGTGGTTAGAAATTGGGTGAAAAGAAGTGAGGAAACAAAGATCCAAGGAAAACGAAGAGAATGGTAGAGCAAGATTTTCCTGTGGGCCCACGAGATATATTCTTCCAAAAAAAGTGGGAGGCAAATAGAGGGAAATGCAACATCAGCTCCTTCTGGAGTCTTTGTCATTTCGATGGGACATGTGACAGATGTTTGAATGAGATGGGGTTGAAGCTCTAAAAATATCTATGAAGCTGTCGGCAATAATTTCGATGAAAGATAGAAGACGGTGAAGAACGCAAAGTGAATGCGTAATGAGAAACGTGACACATTTCTAGATAAGTTCGGTTGGAGCTCCTCAAATATCAACGAAGCTCTTACCAACATATTAAGATTAGAATTTAAATGAGAGGTGATTTCTGGTGTACAAGAATGTTTTCCAGCCCTGCCCAGGGGTTAAAAAGTAAAAAAGAAGGGGGCCTCAGCTCCCAAGCTTTAAACATTAAGCCCGAATATTGAGATAAAAAAATAACAATTTTTCGACGTCGGACATTCTCATCTAATAATTTGCAATTTCCTTAACTTCACCTAGCCTTCTGAGACAGGAAAGTGTATCGTCGAGGATTCATTGATGACGAGAGTTGATAGGTATTGCATCTTTGATAATGCCCAATTTGATTGACAAAGTGTAATAAAGATAAGATGCATGAGAGTTGCGCTCAATTTCCCTATTGTTATTTAAGCGAATTATGTTGCGACCATCAACCAAAAGTTCTTCCAAGCCCATGACCCAAAACTTCTACGTTTAGATATTAGGTAATCAGGCCTCATCATTTAAATCTAAAATTTAATGAAACTAGTTTTTTGGCCCACAACTACGCACCGATTACATCTTGATTCTTTTTTCACATGAAAACAACATATATAATATAAGATTAAGGTTAGAGTTTAGATAGGTAATAGTTTCTAGTATAGAAAAAATATTCACCAATTCTTCCCAGGAGTCAAAACGAAAAAAAAGTGGGGGCTCAGCTCCCAAGTTTAGAATGTTAAACTGCCAAAATCAACTTTGAATATAAATTGAGATTAAAAAAAATGAAGTGTGGCAACTAACGGATTTTAAAAAGAACGTAATATAAAAATTATGTGTGTCCGGTAATTATCCGTTGTGTATGAAATGGAGGGACCACCGCACCTAATGGAGATTCGTTAGATGCTCAAAGAGTCCTAGATGCTTCATTGATATAAGGATTAATACCACGAAAAACCTTAAATTGATACATTTGTGACACATTTATCCAAAACTATTTTTTTACCATAAAAAATCCTAACTGGTACACCTGTGACAATTTTACCCCAAACATACCACAAAAAACCCTAAACTGGTACACATGTGACAATTTTACACCGAACTAATTTTTAATATTATTTTTTTGAATTTTTTCTTTTTTCTTTTCTTTTCTTTTCTTTTTTTTTTCCTTCACTTTCAACCTCTGGCCGGTCGTCGGTCCGGCGATCGGCCAGAGGCGGAAGCCGGCGTCGGGCGACCCTCGCCTGCATCGGGCGTCGGGCGACCCTCGCCGCGGGCTGCCCTCGCCGGCCGGGCGCCCTCGCCGGCGTCGGGCGGCCCTCCTGTGTCCGGGCAAGGGCGGGTCCTCTCTCGCCCAGGGCCACCAGATCCGGCGAGGGCGACCCTCGCCCGATCTGCGGCGAAGGTCGCCCTCGCCGGATCTCGGGCGAGGGTGACCCTTGCCTGCGTCCGGGCGAGGGTTGCCCTTGCCACGGGCGGGCGAGGGCGGCCTCGCCGCTACGCCGGCGAGGGCGGCCCTCGCCGGCTTCCGCCTCTGGCCGGTCGCCGGATCGGCGACCGGCCAGGGCCTGAAGATGAAAAAAAAAGAAAAGAAAAGAATAAAAATAAATAAAAATTCGAAAAAAATAAAAAAATAATATTAAAATTTTAATTCAGGGTAAATTTGTCACATATGTACCAGTTTGGGGTTTTTGTGGTAAGTTCAGGGTAAAATTGTCACAGATGTACCAGTTTGGGGTTTTTGGTGGTAAAAAAAATAGTTTAGGGTAAAATTGTCACAGGTGTACCAGTTTGGGGTTTTTTATGGTCAAAAAAATAGTTTGGGGTAAATGTGTCACAAGTGTACCAATTTAGGGTTTTTCGTGGTATTAACCCTTGATATAAACGCCTATCTATTAATCTTGTAAATATGCATAGGTTTTGAGCTATATACACAACTCCATTGAGAGGAAATGAAGGTTCATGAAAGATGCCTTTTCAATTTTTTGTATAGAAATTACTAACTCTAATCATCATTTGTTTTTCAAAACCTCACTTCAATAGTTCTAAAGAAAACCCAATTTCATTTGATTGATTACACCTGGTTAACGGATCCCGTGAATATGAAGTGTATTTGTACGTAATTATCTCTCTCTCTCTCTCTCGGACCTCTCTTTGCTAATAATCTCCGCGTAATGAGCCTCTTTCCGATTCTCCACAACGGTAACGGAACAATTCTCTGCAAACTCCAAATCCTTACGTGTCTCCTCTCCTTCCCTACCAAGTACCAAACCACACATCCACCATCGTTGCTCTGCTGCTGCTGTTGCTGCTCAGAGGAGGAGGAGGAGGATGACAGAACAAAGTGAGGTTAAAGAGTTAACCAAGGTGGAGTTAACCAAGGTTTTTGGCCATCGTCGGTCGGTCGCTTGGCAATTGTTAAAGCTTCGTGTTGTGTCAACCTCATGTTGCAGCTAGGCAGTACAACTTGATAAATTGTGGGTCACGTTGCAATTATTAAGCTTCGTGTTATGTCAATGTCACGGGACCCAATCCGCCGTACTGTACCGTTTGTCTTTCTACACGTTTGTCCAGTCCAGCTTCAAGTTAACGTCTGCACTACCTTATATGATAATATATTAAATTATTATCACGAAAAATTTTAAATTAATATATTTGTGATAATTTTATTTTAAATTAATTTTTTGATCACGAAAAACTCTAAATTAATATACCTATAATAAATTTACCAAAAATTAATTTTTTGACCACCAAAAATCTCAAACTGTTATATTTGTGACAAATTTACATTCCAAACTATTATATTTGTGATAAATTTACCCTCTGTTAGTTTCCATTAAATTGAATTAATGTCACAAAAAATCATAAACTTATACGCTTGTGACACACAGAGGGTAAAACATAAAATTCAATTGCCGTGTGTTAAAGCAATTTGACTGTAAAATTTAATGGAAATAAATTGAGGGTAAATTTATCACGGATATATTAGTTTGAGATTTTTTATGTAAAGAAATTAATTTGGAATTTTTTGCGGTATTAACCCTAATATATTTGGTCCCAAATTCGAACAACTTGTTTTAGGAATAATAGCAACAAATATTCCAAAAAAAAGCAACCATTCAATTTGGTCCATCACTCAAAACAAAAATAGTTTAATCGATGGAAAAACATACTTACAAATATAATCCAAAAATTTATATAACCTCATATAACCAAAATGTTATCATGCACGTATGATTATTGTAGGGCCGCAATAGAAGCTGATATTCTATTGACTACAGACCTAATATATTAGCCATGATATTCAATTTCTATATCAAAATACAGATAATATACGATAAAAAATTACAAGATATTGTTCAACGAAAGAGATTAAAAGAGCCTCTAGGTCCTATAAAACATATCCATCCACCTTTTCTAAGGATGTAGTTATCGTCTTGTTCGTCCACTTTGTTTCTTTGTGCAAACCATCTACGTCTCGTCTCTACTACTTCTTTTTTATTATAGATTGAAGAGCCTGAGTGAACGACAAGCTATAATGCCGAGTGCAAACATAATTTGAGTTGAAAAACTTAACCGATATTACTGACCTTTCTTTGAATAGCATCTACTAATGCATCTATAGTCAAGTCGATACACATTATTATTGACGAGGACATCGACACTTGTGGGGGAACTCGTACATCTTGAGTTTCATGTCAAATGGAAGATGTTATTTATGGACAAAGAGCCACTGCAAATGGTCGCGACCTTGATTTTTCTTTCGAGAGCTAGACCATATAAAATCGAATCGGGCCATTCTAAGTGGGTTTTAGAAATTGGGTGAAAAGAAGTGAGGAAACAAAGATCCAAGGAAAACGAAGAGAATGGTTGAGCAAGATTTTCCTGTGGGCCCACAAGATATATTCTTCCGAAAAAAGTGGGAGGAAAATAGAGGGAAATGCAACATTAGTTCCTTCCGGACTCTTTGTCATTCCGAGATGGGACATGTGACAGATGTTTGAATGAGATGGGGTTGCAGCTCCGAAAATATCAGCGAAGCTGTTGGCAATAATTTCGATGAAAGAGAAGACGGTGAAGAAAGCAAAGTGAATGCGAAATGAGAAACGTGACACATGTCTAGATAAGTTCGGTTGTAGCTCCTCAAATATATCAACGAAGCTGTCACCAACATATTAAGATTAGAATTTAAATAAGAGATGATTTCTGGTGTAAAAGAATATTCTCCAGCCCTGCCCAGGGGTTAAAAAGTAAAAAAGAAGGGGCCTCAGCTCCCAAGTTTTAAACATTTAGCCCGAATATTGAGATAAAACAATTGCAATTTTTCGACGTGGGACACTCGCATCTAATAATTTACAATTTCCTTAACTTCACCGACCCTTCTGAGACAGGAAAGTGTATCGTCGAGGATTCATTGATGACGAGAGTTGATAGGTATTGCATCTTCGATAAATGCCCAATTTGATTGACAAAGTGTAATAAAGACAAGATGCACGAGAGTTGCGCTCAATTTCCCTATATCCGGTAGAAGAACCAGAGCTAATACGAAGCTCCCAGATTCTCCATCTTCGCTCTGGCTGAAAATACCTCCCCGCCGATTCAAAGTTCGTCAGTGTTCTGTGTCAATGTTCTGTTGATAACAGCCATGCCTACCAGGTTGTGTCTTCTCTTATCTAATTCCAGAATCCACTTCAATTCATTCTAGATTTGTTGATTGCTTTCGTTCTGTCTTGTTCTGCCTTCGCTGTTATGTTTTGGATCGCTATGCCGAGTCGATGGATATGTCATTGCACTACAATTTTGGAAGAAGAGAACGATGTTCAGATATTGAAGTGCAGTCGCTCCATCGCAACAAACAGATAACTCACTGCAAACGAATTCTGAGCTAATCTCCCTCTCGGTATCCTCTGTTCTCTCTTGCAGAGTTTTTCCTTCGTTATAGTGGAAGAACACAAATATTCTATTGCGAAGCGAAGTAATAATGATTGGATATTAACGTAACATTATGATGTTAGGAAGAAAAATGAAAAATTTCTTAATATTGGCTTAGGAAGAATATAGGTCGCATTAATGTAAAGCTGGTCCGACCGCTTTGGGTCCCTCTTATTTCCCTCTGTTTCCTCCCACGTCTAAGAGGATTCATTTTGCGTGCCCACAGGAATTTTTTTTTTTACCATTCTCTGCACTGGATCAATCAACATGGACAGTTCAACGTTGCCTGACTACACTTGTTAGCGAGGACAATTTGGTTTTAGAAATTTGGATGTCCATGCTGATTCATTTAGGCGTACTTGTGCCAAACTAATTATCATTACAACAAATCCTTGTTTGACAAAAGATCCCCATCCTTACTACTTTAAATGTCTTGTTTTTTGTCTTATAAATATTTTCAACCTTTATTTCCCACTTTTATGTGCCCACAGGAAAACTTTTCCTTTACCATTCTCTTCATTGGATCAATCAACATGGACAGTCCGATCAATGCTTAGCTTTCTCTGATGCTATTTGAGGCTTTGAGCCTAGGATAATTCTTTCATTGGTAGATTACTCATGTATCGTCCACAATTTACTAATACCATATTTAAAAAAAAGAAAAAAAATGAGCAAAACCCAGGGAGTATTACTTCTTGCTCTCTCTTTCTCTCTCTACTTTTTCTTTTTCCTCCGTAAAAGCTCAAGTCTTCCCCTGTTCCTCCATTTATAGATAGAGAAGCGACTGAGGTTATTGTCAGCGAAAATCTCCCGAGATAGCAGCCAACTTTTGCTCAACTGACTAACATCTCCCCCTAGGAATCGTTCAATCTACAGGAATTTCAAACTCCTCCACGACTGGATTATCCATTCCTGATTAATTGCTGATTTTTTTTTATCTTTGTATATATATTTTAAGAACGAATATAAATTGGATGCTATTGTTACATAATGCATATTGCCTAACGTAGATTTGATTTTTTTATGTGACAAAACAAATAAATGGGATAGTTAAAATTTTGATTCAGGTCTTGACAGATAATTCCCTTCTTTACTAGATTGTTGATCGATTTTGGTCATTGAAGCCTCTTTGAGTTCTGTTTCTTCATTGCAGATCATAGGTATTCAATTTCAAACTTGTTTGGAATTTGCTGGAACCTTGTCAATACATGCTGATTCGCAACTGCTGTGGCCCTGAGCTGATGTCAATTTACAAGGAACGTTGCGCACGCTATATCACTTATCCACAAGCTATCAAAAAGGCAACCAAACTAAGACAAAATCCACCTAATTCATGCTTAGTCCACGAATTCCAACACACGCTCAGAATTGTAAGAGAGCATACAAGACCGCAAATCGCGATCGTTTGATGACTAATTGACATGAATTGAAGCCACATCTTCCTACAAGCGCATATGTGTCTACTTGATCCAAATGGCATCAATCCAAGACCAAATTAGCACCAAATTTAAACAGAGCAATCATGATCAGCATGTAATACTTCGTTTCTAGCATATTCAAGTTCGCTTATGACTATAATTCTCGGAAAATTGGCATGAGATTCTCCATGTTACTTCCTAGCATGAAAATATATGATCCCATGACCAAACTAGCCTCGTTCAGTTCTTGACCGAGAATTTCATTCATTACTAGATTGTTGATCTATTCTGGTCATATAAGCCTATTTGAGTTCTGTTTCTACATAAAAGAATCGCAGGTATTCAATTTTGAACTTGTTTGAATATGCTAGAACCATGTCAATATATTTTAATTCGCAACTGTTGCAGCCCTCCCTTCATTTGATGCTATCCCACTCAAGTAAGTATGTGTGATGATATAAGATTGTGTTATGGTGAATTTCATGTTCGCTTGGAAAAGAAACTATGTCATGAATGAAATACACAGTGATCTAGTTTAGCAATTACATCAAACAGGTGGTATGCATTTTGGCCAAGGAGCTTAGATGCAAAAGTAAAGCGACGATTCACATCCAAATCATCACAAAGGCAACACGGCAAGTTCAAATCATTAACACAGCCTCAATCACAGCCAATTTTCACGCAAACGTTAGCAATAGCTCTTAGCCTCTGCTGCCGATATAAAGCAACGGAAGACAGAGCACATGTGCTTTAGTTGAATGAAGAATGATTAGCTATAGCGATTGGCATTGGATATGAGTAAGGAGATAACAGAAGCAACATCAAGGAATGGAATCGTCAAAGCAAGCAGTCATGACTGAAGTTCGAGTACTTCAGCATTGCAGACCTTCTTTGGCGGCAGAACTGGTGGCGATCAAGAACCGGTGACGGTCAACAACAAAAGCAAGTAGTAGAGGATTCAATTGAAACCACCGAGAGAGTGACTTGGGGATGCTTAAAAAATCGCCCGAGTTCCTTCGATCAATGCTCTCTGTTCTTGCCCCCTCTCTGCGTGCCATATCATGTGGTGGCCAGCGATGGAGATGTTGTGGCTTCAGAAAAACTAATCATATTCTCTCTCTCTTTTGATCTTACTATTGTTTCCGGACTCTTTGTCATGTCCAAATCCTATGTTCCGTGTCTCATCTTTTTGTTCTTTTTTAATATCATTTTGTTAGTTTAACATTTTATCATCATAGTCCTATGCTTTCATTATAAGTTGTTGTTTGGTTATTGGTTCATCTATTAGGCACAACTCGAGAATCATTTATGGATTAACTCACTCGAGATATTGTTTATTTAAACAGCTGGATCTAATATTCAATCGACCTTAAAATGCTCTAATGAGGTCACTCTAGGCCTGAATTTGGCAATTTGATTTTTATTAAATTGGTTACTGGAGAATTTATTTACAATTAGGAGCATCATTACTGCTCGCTGGTTCACTTTTCAATTTTTTTATTAACAAAAAAGCAAGTCAAGTTATTGCCAAAAAAAAGAACAAAAAGAAAAAGCAAGTCAAGTCAAGAAGTACCTAAAGCTGCAGAAATTACGCGTGCAGTAATTGCCCATTCCATGCAACATGCATCATAGCGATTCAATTAGCATTCTTGGACCGTTGGATGGCAATAGACAAGTGTTGTGTGTCAGTAATTAAACGCTGAAGACAGAGTGATAAACACTATTTATCTTGATTTATCAAATATGAGATGTTTCTTTTAATATTACCATTTGTCAATATATACGTCAAATATGACATATTATATCATTACAGGAAGTTATAAATCACTACTTTATTAAATTCTCTCAAAACATCGTCATAATCCTCGACAAAATCTACATATCAATGAATAATTTTTATGGGCACGCATTACCAAACTGTTCGAAGTCATGGAATATAACTTGTTAAATATTGAAGTACGACAGAACATCTTTTTATAATGGGTATTTATACTATTCTTCAATCATAAGAGTTATCACATATTATATACTTGTTATGATTATTGTTGAAATATACACAATCATATAGTAGATTTCTCTTGAACATATCCTTTTTTCCCTTCTATCTGTAATAATGGTTAGCTTTATTATATCCATTTATATGTAAAGTGTATTACATAATCTCTCTCTCCCTATTGCATATAATCCACTGTTGACACCTAAATTTTTATCGACACATCAAGCACATATTTTGAAAAAAATAAGAAATAAATAATAGTAAAAAGAACAAAAACTAATAATAAATAAAAGAGAATAAAAATAAGAAGAGAGAGAGAGAGAGAGAGTCCGATTCGGCCTAGTTAGGCCCCCATCACCTAAGCATTTCAGTATGATCCAACAATTAAACCATGCTTATCTCCCCCCGAATCAGATCCACAAGCTTAAGCCTCACTTCCACCATCCTTCCTATTCCACACGAATCATTACGTTTCATAGGAGTTGAGAAGGAAGAGAGGGATTTTGATCTTCTAATCTGGTCTTCCACATAAAAAGGATCGTGTTAAGTTCCATCGTGCTTAGCTTTTGATATCAGTGAAGCTTTGTAGCAAATGGAGTGGAGGGAGAAAGGTTCCGTTGCACAATTGCGAAACTGAGTTGTAAAATCTATTATCCGTTGCCATTTCCTTGGTACCCACGTGTGCATAACATGATTACAGGCTCATGGAATGCAATGGTTTCTGGGTATTGTTAGAATGGGGATTTTCGCTGAAGCACTGGATATTTTGTCTGCTATGAAGTCGCAGGGGATAGAGATGGATTCTGTAATTCTACATAATCTGCTCACCATTTTTGCTCAGTTTGATGATGCATCGAGGAAGCAATTGAAGCGTATCACCTGATGGAAGAGTGTGAAGGGATTTCTCCATATAAAGGGAGTAAGGAGACGAGATTTCTAATTCGATTCTTATACAAATTCATTGAAAATAATTGGGGAAATCAACATGTAAAAGATATTAGCTACATGATCGATTTTTTCTTGAATTACGTGAAAATTTTCACCATCAGCAACAGGTGAAACTCGAATAGGGAAACAAGACGTCAATTGAAATCAACAATTTATTTACCAAAAACTAAACGCGAACACTGAAATTTACGGATGCGGGGTAGAAGTTACCTACTTTATTTATTTAAAGTTACCATTCTCTTTAAGATTTTACTGAGTACATGAAAAAAAAAAAAGAATGACCAACAGCTTTGCCACCATTTTTTTTTTCCTCCTCACCAACAGCAACAGATTTTCCCGAGAAAATCCTTGAGGTGTAACAGATGGGACGCCCTTCAGAGTCATGGCATAGAAATGTCGTCTTGCATGCGGTGAACAAGAAAAAGTTATCTGTAAAGAAACAAGTTATCATTTTAATATGGTCAATTAAAATTCCCAATTACATTACAAGGATTAAAACTATCCTGTTAAGTCCTCATATGTTGATATATGTCCAACGAATCTCGCAGTACTTAGACCTTTTGGAATTTGCTCGGCGGAGTGAGTGCCTGGATGGCCTCGGCTGTCCTCCCCCTTCGCGCCAAGACTCTCAAGGGCATGTTTTTGACGAAATTCAACCTTATTTCGGCAAGACTCCTGTATGTTCAAGCGAGTTTCAACAATTCCGAACGAATTACGGCAATTCCAAGTAAACTTCAGTGAATTCTAGCAACCTACAATAACCTTCCGGCAACACCTCAACAAAAATTCGGCAAATTCCAACACATTCCAGCAAATGATCAAGGTCCAATGTCGTAGAATTTCATGATCCAACTTGCAGTGCGAAAGACAATCAAATCACACAACCACTTTGGGACCAAAATATCAACAGAACCTTTCAATAAATGGAATCCTAAAATAAAGCTTCCATCAACACGACAAGCAATTGGAAAGAATAAAGGCGACCGAGTGCCAAATGAAATTACAAGATGACGAAACCATCTCATGTATTGACTAGTCCTCTTTGGCCTCGTAAAGCACATAATACATACACATTGCCC